AGCCAAAGTCGGACGCTTAACCAACTGAGCCACCCAGGGGCCCCTTGAGCTTAGATTTTTAACCTGAGGATAGGAGAGAGGTGCTGAGGTATCTGAAGTAGAAAGATGACCGTGGCTGCAATGTGGGGGAAGGATGGCTGATATGAGGGCCTGAGGCAGGAGTGGAAGGGTGATATAACTGTCCAAGCAAGAAACAGTGAGGACCTCGAGGTCAGCCCTGGCTCTCCGCTGTCCCCCAGACGCCAGCTACTGAGGCAAAGGCATGGTGGGGGGGCAGAATAAGGTTCTCTCCCATGAGAATACCTTCCAAAAGTGGTGTCTTAGGAGGAAAAAAAGAGTCCTGGATTTGCCACCTGTATGACAGGTCAAATTAAGAAGCTACATTTGTTACTAGGTATCAGGCACCTCTCAGAGATGATTCTGAGGACATTTTATAATTTACTGAACATTTTCATACCTTAATGTGAAACCTGTGAAAGAACAGTAATCCCTGACTCATGTGCTCTTTTGAGGATTAAAAGAGATATCATACACATGAAAAGGCTTTTCCAATTTTATATATTTAAAAATATTAGTTTTCTAATAAACATGACTTCCAATTTTTTTCCTAAATGCTATGAGCATTTTCTTTTCAGTCTCCATCTATTGGAGACTCCACAGATTGATAAAGACAGTTATTAATTATTGATTTTTGTATGGTAAGACATAAAACATGAACACCATGAGGATTCTTTCACTTAATAGAACACTGCAAATATGGGGCTACATGTCTAGAATAATAACTGTTTCAGGGAGACTAGCTTGTTTGATTATACTTCTATTTGAGAATGGTTCTAAGAAGCAAATCCAATACATGCCTTCATACTTTCAAGATAAAGCATGAGGAAGAACTTCCCATCATCCTCCATGAACAACTAGAAGCTTTATGGCCATTCTGAGGGAACTGACGTCCAGGCATTCTACGGGCACTAGACAAGCATAGTTTCTATTCCAACCATTAAAAACGGCGATCAGCAACTTTGCGAATCATGGTGGATAGCCACTAAACATGAGCTAATACACATTAGAGCAAAGAAAAAGCAACAACAAAAAATAAGGCTTATTTTTGTGCTCAAAAAAGCTAATTATATAGCAAATAAAGGAAAGGCTGATCAACATATCAAAGTCATGAAAAAAAGTGGGAGTCTAAAAAAACCTAAGGTTTTAATTCTTTTTAAGTGGAGGATTAACTCTATGGGAAATAAAATAAAACTTGAACAACAAATCAAAAGATACAAAAAAAATGTAACGTGTGGACCATTATTCAAACAAGCCAAATATAAAAGACATTTTCGGAGACTCAGCGTAATTTGAATATGGACTGCGTAGTAGATGATCATATGGAATTGTCATTAGCTTTGTTGGGTGTGATGACAGTATTGTGGCTATGGAAGAAAATATTCTCAGTTTACAGACAGGCACACTGAAATATGCAGGGGCTGCGATGCCATGATATGTGTTATCTGCTTTAAAATACTTCAACAACCACAAAAAACCACCTTAATGAGACAAATCACAAAAGGCTACTCTTCTATACATATTGAAATTTCTCTTTATTAAATATTTAAACAAGGAAAGAAAACCTGATAAAACATCCAGTCCATCCACTCAGTTGTACTAAGGTGGGTTGTCTGAGTTAAAGAAGGAAATGGCCCAGACCAAACATGTCTTGAGGTTAGAAAGACACCTGAGGAAGTCTTCTCATATTGTCTTTGTGGGACGAACTGTGGACTATGGGCTGATGAGTACTTCCCTCACATTTTACTGGCAGGCTACCCAAATTCCCCGGAGGGAGCTGCAGTCAGGGATGGGAGAAGGGGAGCTTCGAGGCACTGTGAGGCTGCATCGAGGCCACTGAGGAAACAGCCAACACCATGACCTGCAGTCTCTGACATAGACCCACCACCACTATTGGAACCAATGAGCGTATCACATGCCGTACAAGAATCACAAGGAAGGAGACTTTCATTATCCCTCACTTATGGGGGAGTTCTCACAAAGTCTCCCATACTGTGGGCTGCTCTTTCTATTGCTACTTTGAACAACAAAGTATCATGTTGAAGAAGAGACCTTAATTATCACAAATTTTAGATGCTTACAGATATCACTGCCAAACATCCTTTAAAAAGAAGGAAAAAAAAATTATAATGTGATCATTCCTGGGGGTATGAGCTCAAAGTGCAAGCATTGGATGTGGTTGTAAATGAGCCTTTAATTTTAAACATCACTTAACAAGGCAGTCTGGCAAGTGGTTACTTTGTGGAGACATAGACATTTTCCCCTTCCAGAAGTATGGAAGTAGGTACTGGGAATACCATTTTTAGAAACAGTGTCACATAAGGATCAAAAGGGAGCGTTTATCAAAAATAGCTTAGATGAAAAAAAAAATAGCTTAGATGAACTTAAGGTGTATCAAGTAACTTAAAAAGTGGCTCTAATGATGGTCAGCAGTATAATGTTGGAGACAGATGTGACGAGTTTGAATAAACATTGTTTCGTGATATAGGACAGGCACGTTCCTTTCAGAGAGACAGACTGTTCCCAAGATGGGACCCCTAGCGTGAAGAAGGTTAAGACCTATGGGGTAAGGATCTGTAGGGTAAAGAGATTGCATAATAAAGGTCTCTGAGTATTTGAAAAGCAGCCATGTGGAAGACAGAGTTGATTTATTCTGCATTTTTAGAGAGCGTAAGTCAAATGAGTGGATGGGAATTATAGGGAGGCAGGTATATGCTCAACATAAGCAAGTACATTTATATTCTTATAACAATTAGATCAGTCCAAGATTGACTTTGAAAAGTTATGTGTGACTAAAGGCCAACCGTGAGGAATGAAATTGAGACAAGTTGCCTTTATGGATATTTTAATGATTACATGCTATGATTTTATCACATTATCTCCAAGCTGGAAACACATTTTAAGCTGATAAATCTATTTATTTTTTGAAGATATTCATTTATTACATATTATTTATTCATTTTTATTTATTTTTAATTTTTTTAAGTGTTTTTATTTATTTTTGAGACAGAGAGAGACACAGCATGAGCAGCGGAGGGTCAGAGAGAGAGGGAGGCACAGAATCTGGAGCAGGCTCCAGTCTCTGAGCTGTCAGCACAGAGCCCGACGTGGGGCTTGAACTCACAGACCGCGAGATCATGACATAAGCCGAAGTCAGACACTTAACCGACTGAGCCACCCAGGCGCCCCTATTACATATTTTTAAAATGGTCACTGTGAATATTTATACTAAGTTTTGCGGGTGATAAAATGTACATAAAAATGATGACTGTCAGGGGCTCCTGAGTGGCTCAGTTGGTTCAGCGTCCAACTCTTGATTTTGGCTCAGGTCATGATCTCACAGTCATGAGATAGAGCCCAGCACTGCTCTCCATGTTGAGCATGGAGCCTGCTTAAGATTCCCTCTCCCTCTCCCTCTGCCCTTCCCCTGCTGATATATCTCTCTCACTCTCTCTCTCTCTCTTTAAAAAAAAATGATGATTGTCTGAAGTTTATGATCAAGGAAGGAGATATCCACATGTACAACACATCATACACACATATATATACCATACATGTATACATGTTAACATGTGCCAAAACACGTCTAACACACTGTTCTTGGGCTGGGGCTTTGTCATAACGTTAAAGTGGATATGTAATGAGGGCATGATCCAGTTAAATTTTTCATCTTCTTTGCTAGGGAGTCTCTTAAGTGCCCTGTCTCTGGTCCAGGCTATCTGCCTGTCCAAGAGTAAACTGATTCATCCATAGTGACGATATGAGTCAAATATTTTGGCTTTGTTCTGAAGCCTTTCTTGGCTTGGACTCAAGAGAATGGACATGGTCTTCCAATTTCCCAGCCAGTTCTCTCAAATCTTCTCAAAAGCTATTATACAAAGAATGAACAATGGGAATTATCCAATAGGCCTTCCAAATGCAATACCCAGTAAAGCAAAATGGAATTATGCAAAACCACTGGTTGCTAAATTCTATCCTTGATCACCAGGAGATTAGTCAACAGTATGAATTCATCAGTTTGAATTCAACCCAGGATAGAAAAACAATTCCAGAGTTACAAGTACTAATGAGATGCAACATTTTGTTATATGAAGCAAGTAAAGTATAATGGAGGAAAAGGTGAAAAACACTATTGCCTCATGATGACATTTAAAGATATGAATGCAGGGTAAACATTAAAATTAAATCATTGCGGGGCACCTGGGTGGCTCAGTTGGTTGAACCTCTGACTCTTGATTTGGGCTCAGGGTATGATCCCAGGATCATGGGATTGAGCCCCGTGTCAGGCTATGCCCTTAGAGCAGAGCCTGCTTAAGATT